GGTTGAAATAGGGTTTCATTTTTAGGGGAAGGGGAAGATGGGTCATTCCCCTCAAATTGGTGAATACTATTTCATTATGAATGGGAATGGAATTTCAATTCCACCCAATCAAATAGTTGAAATCAGATCATTCCGATTTCGTACCCATATTTACTCCTGTAAACCAAATGGGACCGCAAATGAGAGAATGCTATTCCACCAAATTGCTGAAATTCATCAAGTGGGCCATTCCCATTTTAATTCCAAATCCCCCATTCTTGCAAACCAAGCAGAAACTAGCCCTAGAAGAGGTTGTGGTTGTAGAAAACCCCCACCCCGACACCACTCCTCCCCTTAGCTTTTTTACTCATAAAAACGGTGTTTGACATTGGTGTTGGGAATATCGCACTGTTTTCTCATAAAAACGGTACTAGGCATGTAGAATTGTAATATTTTTTGTTTGGAACCGGTATTGTTACATAGGCATTTTTTGAGAAAATAGCATTGGTTTTATTTGGTACCAGTGCTAGCAGCAACATTTTCAACATTGATCTATATTATCCAACATCCAAGATGATGCCACATCATTGCACCACTGGCAGCAATGCGTCGTCGTTTTCTCAGAAAACATTGAATCTGGATCATTGCACCATTGACATCATTGTTTTTTCAAAAAACATTGAATTTGGCGTTTCTCCATACCACACTTTCCCAATTTCCAAGGCGTTGCATGGAGTATCATTTTTTTTCTGGAAAACAATACCAAAGAAGAGGTCGTTGTTTGAAGCACCACTTTCTCTCATGTGATACCTACGTGGCGCGAGCATCAATGCCAAACATCTCCATAGTTGTTTGTTACGAACCTTTTGGGGAATTTATCTAAATTTCTTCCTCACTTTTTTGGTCTTCTCTTAAATTTATCTTGACTTTTTTTAATACCTCTAAGATACCTAGTGTTGATGCGCGATTTGCTCAATCCCTCGTGTCCAATGACTGGGCTCGAACTAGGATTTGATTTGGCAGTGTCGAGCTTAATCTTTATGTCCGAGCTGGAAAGAGCTGTGAAGAAAGAAATGTTAGAGTGTCTGGGTAGTTTTTACCCAAGAGAACACTCCGATGTTTAAGTCAGAATAGGAGTTTCTGTGAGAATATGTGAGAGAGTTCAAAAGCTTTAGTGCACATACCTTTTAGGGTGGTTTTGGAGTCTTTTTATAGCTATCTGAGGTTTAGGTGCCATCAGGCAATGTCTTTGAGTCTTCCGCAGAGCTGTTTCTGCAATTTGAAGTGTGCTGGAGCGTCAGTTGCTCATGGGTCTTGTGGCGTATGGTTCGGTGAGCTGTTCCTATGCTCGCGATAACGATACTCGTGAAGGCGCGGTGCGCGGAACGGTTTAGACGAGCTTGTATTGTTGGCGGGCCGAGCTTGCCCCAGCTCGGCCACACACCTGATGTTGGTTAACACGTGTTGACTTGTCGAGCTATTTTACTGACTTGGGCGCTGTATTGTCAATAACGTCCACATGTCGGTAATTGTGCGAGGTAACCAAAATGCCCCTCTCATCACCTAGTACTTACCATCAGCTGTTAAGTCTCCATTATTGACTAACTATAACAGAAGTTTCCCACATTCATCATTAACTAGTTTTTAATGCCCTCTCATCACCCTGTTTCCGTCTTGTATTGTGAATTTAATGCCCCCAGAAGATAGGAATTTTTTTCATTATCTTAGGTATAGTTTTAAATAACTGAGCGTGGATGGAGTTCCAAGTTGCAAGAGATGAGTTGCTACCAGGAGGAAAGAGTGCAAAAGTTTCCATTCATTGAGATTATAACTGTGAGATAATTAACAAATTAATTAAAACCATTCTGTTCCCTTCTGGTAAGTTATCTCATTAATGGGGTATCTCCTACCTAAAATTTAAATTTCAAAGAACTCTACAATTATATTAGTTTAAATTTTCAAATATTTATTGAATGATCCCCACCCCAAGTGATAAATAAAAAAAAAAAAAAGAAGAAGAAGAAGAAATAGTAGTATTTTGTCTCTTCAATACAGGAAGGTGACCTATCCTCTTGAGAGAGATGTATTAAAGAAGCTGTAGAGTGAGACAAATCAAGAATTGAAGAGGATAGAGGCAATAAACAAATTAAGAAAGTGTTGAGAAGGGAGAGAGAGTTGTGTAAAACAGATCATTATTAGATGGCCACAGTACATCATAAGAGTTGTTAGGAGTAAGTAGGAATAGATATTTCGATATTTTGATGTTACAACTTACAAATGGGCCAATAACACTCATCTCTTCACGGAGAATCCGGAGCAGGAAACGGTCCTTCCATTTTTACTATTTCTTTTATCCATATCAACATTGACTGATGATTAATTAAGAAATTATAAATTGTCCAACTGCACTCATCAATTATTCGAAATTCAATAAGAATATAACCTTTTGTTCACTCTTTTTGTCCTTTAAAAGAGAAACCACCAGACTCAGAATTTCTTTTCTTATAATAATTAACCACGAATCTCCTATATTCATCAGCCTGTTCCTGATTTAGATTCAAAGCTTGAGAAGGCTCCTACTGAGTCTGCTTTTCAGTCTACCAACCAACCCAAGCCCCAAGGCTCTCTCTCTCTCTCTCAGGTAGCACAGAGATCGAACTCTCTCTGGTTCTGAGCAGGTAGATCTACTATTCTACGCGGCGAAATAAGGCTTGTCAATGGGAAGTGTCAATCCTCTGCGCCCTCTACGAAAATTAAAAAATAAAAAAAAAAAATCCTCTGTGCCCCAATCTTGAAGAAGAATTTTTTGAACTAAAATTTAGCTTCATCTGATGAAGAACCTGACGTAAATCCCTTTGTATTCTTTATGAATTGTCAAAGTACAAAGCGTGTTTATCTATTGATAAAGTTCTACTGTAGAACTTTTCCTTGCTTTTCCAAGGGTGAAGGAGGTCCCCTACAAGGCAGTGCCCCTACAAATAATAAAGTTCCAAGTCTGTAAGATAGAAAGGATAGACTCATACCTGTAGTAATTATATAAGGACTCCCAGTGGTCTAAAAACTCGACTAAATTGGTCGTACATAGATCATTTGCAGCTTAGTGGATAAACTGAAATTAGTGGCAGCAATCCTTGACCCACTGCCTCCTCTCTTATCTTTTCCTGGACCACAAGGGCCAACCTGATTAGTGAATAGATTGGTTTGGTCTTGGGTTGGCCAACTTCACCTTTCAAATTGAACCCGGACAATTGGGTTTGCTACAGTTCAAATGAAGCAAATGGGTGTGGGTGTATCTTAGTTAAAATGTCTTTTACTACTAGTATAAACCATGGGTTGGACCGGTTTGAACCAGGTTTTTGTTGAATGTTTGATGGGTCCATTCTGAACCATTAATTTTAAGAGAATTGTAACTTTTGATAGGACATGAACCAACCGTCCTATTAATTAAATTCTTAGCATGGAAATTTTATAGTAAAAATAGAGGGCTTGAAATCAAACCCAAGTACACCAACTGAGCTTGATCTGCAATAAATAGAGAATTAATTTCCACAACTAACCATAATATTTAACTATACAATAGTTCCTTTTGATGAGTGCACACTGCACAGTAGGAGTTTCTATCCAATCCATATTAAATTCTAGTTCATTGCTGCATTTTTTTTCTTTATATTGTCATACTTTACAAACTTTTAATTGCAACCATATTACAATTGTAATGCAAATATGTTTGACCAATCCAATCTTGGCCTCACCATGTGAGCTTGGTTGCATTTATCCGGTTTCTAAAACACTGCTCAAGCATGTGAACAAGAGAAGAAAACCCTTAATTAAAAATCACATATTTCCATTGCCTTTAATTTTCCCTCTTCCTTCCTCTTGTAGTGGCTTTTGGTTGATCAATTAGGTTTTAGTGCTTGGTTTTTCCTTATATTGATCTACATTTATATTGATCACAAGAGAAGAAAACTATGTAATTAAAAATCACATAGTTTTAAATTGTTGTTCTTGGAAAGTTGGAATAAATAAATAATAATTGATCTACATTTATCTTTTTATGTTGCATAACCATATATATTATATTCTATACCCTACGTAAGAGAAAAAGATACTATTAATACTGTTCTAATAACTTACATCCCATGCATTGACAATTTCTGGAAATATAATAACTTAGAATTAATTAATTATTATGAAAAAAAATACACTGCAACCAATTAATGATAGTTCCAACTCTTGTCAATTAACAACAAGAGGTTATCAAGAAGGCCCATAGTATAAACATCACAACAAAAGGAATTAATTGTGGCCTGCTTGATGAGCCTGGCTCGGCCCAATTCCTATTAATTCCTGGTTTTTGAGATGATTACTGCAAATCCAACTAAACTATCTGCATATGCCATGTGCCATTATCAGGCACTGTTTCAGTTGTTTGAACCTAGAATAGAAGATAGATTTACCAACTACAAAAGCACAGTCTATAATCTAAACTACTCTGCCTAAATATAAAATTACAAGTTGAAGAAACCAATTTAAAATTTGAATACACACTCCATATTATTAATGCCAAGGAACCCATTTTCTAACTTCCATTATCCACCCAAAACCAAGCAAGAGATGGAAATGATCAACAATCCATGTCTTAAGAATTAAGAAACCAAATTAGAATTCAGAGATAAAAAAAAAAAAAAGTTAACAACTGTTTAAAAAATCAATTGAAGATACTACATAATTGCAAGGTGTACTAAGAGGGTGTTTTGTATTTCCAAGTAGGAAGCTGCCACCAAGTATGAAAACCAGGAGGAGAAGAAGCCAAAGGGTGATGAGATCATCAAGAAAAAAAGAAATGAGAAAATTTCAAAGAACTCAAACTCCCCTTTCATGGAGGGAGAGACCATGTGATCCCATTCCCACATTATTTTATATTTCTTTATCAGCTTCCTTGATCAAAATCAAATTTGTGGTCGCTTTCACTTGCGATATATTTAATCCAGATTATTTCGTATTTGCCTGCACGTCCTCTATAAACTATACAACTGCCCATCTGTCAACATGACGGCTCATGTTAAAGCCTAACCCTCATTCCACCACCCTCTCCCAATTTCTTCTTCCCACCAAATCCCCTCTCTTCTCTCTCTCTCTCCGGCCACTCTGATCATCTCCTTCCCCCGACGACCCTTCACCATGGATGAATTATTGCAGTAGGCATCGATCTTCAAGGAGTTTATAACTTTGTATCAACTGACACCGGCTCGGGAGATCATTAGTTGCAGTATTCAGCTGTGATCATGGAGGGTAGATTCAGCAACCCTTTTGTTGGCGAGCAAGTGGGTGTACGAATTACGCCAAAAAGTGGAGGAGAATCACCCTTCTCCGGCGTGATCAGCGAAGGAAAGGTTACTTCTACGTCGTCCCCGAAGAGAAGGTTAGTTTTAGCTCGGAATTAATAAAATGGTGTTTTCTTTCGCCGGAATTGTGTAGGATTCCGGTTAGCTCCAACAGTCTCTGTGCTTGTTGCTCTGAATTTTATGTGATTAATTGAAGAGAGACCATTTTGCCTGGTTGCTTCTTTCTTTTACTTGCTTCAGTAGGCGCTCTGTACAGAAGAGGGTGGTGTCCGTACCGATCAAGGACGTCGATGGTTCTCGGCTCAAGGGGGAGGGAGCTCCGCCTTCCGATTCGTGGGCCTGGAGGAAGTACGGACAGAAGCCCATCAAAGGTTCTCCCTATCCCAGGTAAGCTAGCTATAATCTGATTCTGATCAGCTGCTTCATCTCTAACATGAGCTCAGCCTTCAGCCTTCAGCCTTCAACCTTCAGAATTCTTGTTCTTTCTTCAGTCGGATCTGATTGGTTCTTGACGAGTTCATCAGAGCCGCATGATTTTCAGTAACATCACAATTTTGTAGAACACTGCACATGTTAACTGAAAATGCACAAAAAACCGTTACAAATGGTGATCACTGATGCACGGTACTCGAGTCGAACCAGTCGACCCAGAGGCCAGAATTTCGGTGCATTATAAGGAAACCGTGGGCCTAATAACTAACATGCGCAGTATTTTTAAGGGTCGTGTCCTAAACTGAGCCCACGGATTATTGTCCTCTGTCTCAGTGGCAGACTGTCGGGGCTGTTTAGTTTCGCCGCCGTGAGACTGTGACAGAAGAGAAGGACCGAGTCACTGAGCAAGAGAAGCAGCTGGGCTGGGAATGGGATGACGTAATTCACGAACGGTGCATGTTAGCACGAACCTGGTCACGCTAAAATGGGCCAGGGGTTTAGTTCGTGATTAAGTTAAGATTGGATTAACTCATTAATTGTCGTTTTCGTTTGTTTAAACCTCCTCCGCAGGGGATATTATCGATGCAGTAGTTCAAAGGGTTGTCCGGCGAGAAAACAAGTGGAGAGGAGCCGCGTGGACCCCACAAGGCTTGTCATAACGTATGCGTGTGAACACAACCACCCTTGGCCGGCCTCCAGAAATTCTAATTCTACCGCTTCTCATTCTAACACCACCGCCACCACCTCCGCCACCCGCCCCGCCGTTGTTTCCCCCGCCAACGGTAGCAGCAGTCCCCCCTCCACTACCACCGAAAATGATATTTCCCCAAAATTCCCGCCAGAAGAACCGGTTGTCTTCTCAGATCGACCAGCTATGGAACCGGATGATAGTAAGTTCGGTGATCTGGGAGAGGAATCAATGATCACCAGCGACGATTTTAGCTGGTTCTCCGACGTGCCATCCACCTCACCCGCCGTACTCGAGAGCACGACTTATCCGGGGAGCAGCAGCGGGAGAGCTGACGTGGCGATGATATTCCAGATGAGAGAAGAAGACGAGTCTCTATTTGCCGATCTCGGCGAGTTGCCGGAGTGTTCGTTGGTTTTCCGTCGAGGGATTTTTGAGCAAGATGAGGAGAGCCGGCGTTGCAGTCCGGTGTGCGGGAGCACGGGATGAGATGAGGCCCTGCGCCATCACCACTTGCGTTTGCGTAGCCTCCCCAGAATCCATATGATAATAATATAATCAACGGAGTGCGTATCGTGCGCCACAAGATGCAGAATTTTTCCGTTTTCTTTTTTTTTTTCTTGCCTTGATTTTGGTGTAAAATAGTGAAATCAAAAAAAAAAAAAAAAAAAGAGGGGAATATTTAATGGCGGGGATGCTCCGGGACCTGTCTTCATCTCCTTGTAATTAGTATTAGAGTCGTCCGTTCCCAACGGCTCCCCTTCCACTTTAATTTGGGTTTCTGCTTTGAGATGTTATCTGATACAACACTCTTCTACGCATCTTTAATGAATCACATCCGAATTGACAGATCTGCATCTGCTAGATATTATAAATACTAAATACTTTAACCCCCGCTACGCATCTTAGTTTGTAGATTGTAGTAGATCAGAACTCGGAAGAGGTGCATATGCAAGTCCAACACTGAAGAAGGTGCAACTATGAAGAGCATGTGGTGGCGTGGTGCAACTCAAAAACAAATAAGGTATAAATTTGTGAATGTGACAATCGTCACAGCAGCAAAACAAAATAAGGTATAAATTTGGGATTTTGGAAATGCTTCTTATGTAATTAAATCGTCTTTATGTGTTTTAGCGTCTGTTTGGCATCGTTGTTGTTGCTCAGAAAACAGCATTACATCATCATCATGTAGGAAAAAACAGTACTTCAGGAAACAATTATCTGTTTGGAACCGTTTTTTCATAGAAAATAGTGCTCTAAACCAAACTGGGCAGTGATGTGGCAATGGATAATGGGTAAAAGTGCAAAAAATGTTTCCTGAATCATTGGTAGCAAACATAAAAAGTTGTTGTTGCTTCAGGAAACGTCCTACCTGGCAGCAATGATTCTTAACAAAATAAAGGCTTCCAACTTGCATCTGTAGCATCGATGCCAAACATATACTTAATTTTTTGTTTTTAGAAAACGTTGTCACTTGCCACAAGGGGTGTTTGTTTGTACCAAATCATATCATAATTTGCAGTTTGATTTAAAAATCAAACTAAATAATAAATACATAAACCCTAAGCCAATATATATTATATATTAACATATATATAATATATAATAAGAGTCCGTTTGGTTTACAGTTGGAATCAGAATTGGAATCTGAACAGTCCATTCCCTATGTTTGTTTCAGATAAGAATGGGAATGCAAATTAAAATCAGTGGAAATAAGATTTCATTCCTAAAAAAAGAACAGGGTATGGCTATTCCCTCAAATGGTAGAATATCATTCTAACAGAAATGGAAATGAGATTCCAATTTCACCCAACCAAACAATTAGAACCAGAATAGCCAAATTCCAATTCCAGAACCCTATTCCCATAAACTAAACGAGGCCTAAACACTCATTCTAACCAAATAAAATTACCAACTACAACGATTCAACGATTTCAGAGCCCTATTCCCGTTAACTTTGTAATTAGGTTAAACCCAATAAAATAGTCCAAACCGTGTTAAAAACTTAAAACCACTGGTTATTAAACTGTATTTTACTGAATTGATCTAAAATCAATTCTAAATTACAACGAACCAAACCCACCCTTACACATCGGATCAGGATTTTTTCTTAAAACCATCAATTAGATGCAATGGTATTGTGTTGTTGATTTTGCGGAATCATGACTTAGAAATTAGAATAAGCCGATATGAATTGAGTTGAAATGTGAAGAATGAAGTGAAGGTAGCCCAATAGCCAATATAATAGGCCATAAACCAACACCTTCCCACTTTAATATATATGGCTAGATGTGACGGTTAGCATTCCGCATTCCGCATTCCGCGAAAAACAGTAGAAAGGAATATGAACTCAAAGACGTCACACTTTTGACTTTGTTGTCTTCATGCACCTCACGCCAAGCCGACAATATGAATGAGATTATGAGAAACGACACCGCACGTGAGTGCACCCCTCATCAAATCAAATCAAATCACTCCCCATTTCATTGAAAATGTGCTTCAATGAAACGTCCCAATTAGGGGTGTTAATTGGATTGGATTTAGTCCAATCCATCCAGTCTAATGTAAGTCCATTATAAATGATTTCAATCTAATCGATGTTTTGAATCAATTTAGACCCATCCAATTTAATGTTTGGACTATTCAATCTATTTAAATTTATTTTGATTTAGATTGGTTCAACCCAAATCCGATTTATTGATACATATATTCTTATTTTGTATTAATGAATCAGATATTGGTTTAATCCAACCCAATTCAATATAAATTTGTTACGAATAGATCAGGTCCAATCCAATCTAATATTCTTTACCTTTCCACAAGGTTTTCAAAAGGAGGTGATCGTTAGGGTTTTCTTTGGGGTGAATCCCTTTAGGGAGTCTCGAAGAGAGCCACCCATCTAGGTTCTCCTTTCCCCTTCTCTCTCTCTTTGTTTCAAGAGAGGCTTTCTCTTGAGTTTTTCTCGAGGCTTCTTCTTGAGTTTTCTCGAGGCTTTGTTCTCTGGTTTCTCCCATCTGGGTTCTCCTTTCCCCCCTATTTTCTCCCATTTGCATTTTGACATGGGGTTCTTCCCTTCGACTCTTTATTAGACGATCGTTACTGATGGACGTAGCTTCACGATTGCCGTCTATGATTGAGTCATTTCGCGGTTCTTTAGCAGATGTTATTCATGGTGAATTCCATTTGCAATTCTTCGGCGAAGGCAGTCTTTTAGAACTCTCTACTGTCAAATTCATTCGCCGTTTGTGGTGGATTGGAGATGTGCATGTCTACTTCTATTGGTGATTTTTATTCACCTTTATTCGGTTGCAGAAGTTCCTTATGTTCTCCTTCATCCATTTTTATATTTTGTTCTTTTGAGAATTTGTTTTCTGTGTTTTCTGATTGGTTTTATTGGCATTTTTTTTGTATCAATTTCTTGATTGACAGAAATATAATGCCTAATGATGGTTTCAAAAAAAACCAATCTAATAAATATTTTGGACCGGATTGGTCCAAGACAATGTCTTGTTAATCCATAAATCCGTCTAAATTGATGATGGACTAGACGGAGTCCAATCCAAAACTGGTCCATTGACACCCTTAGTCCCAATAAAAAACACTTCCAATACGTTCTTGGTTTGGTTGTAACCCTTCTTAAGTTTACGGTTTGAAATGTTGAGGATAGTGAAACCAAGGCACATAACTGTATTAACTGTACTAACCGAAAAGGATAAGATAGTCTGTAACTGTAGCATTTATCTCTCTCTCTAGACATATTTATATTATATAACATCTTTTTAGAGTTCTCAATTCCCCTGCTACACAGTGAGCAAGCTGATCACCTGTGGCAATAGGTGAACATATATCAAATGTTGAGTTAATTCAATTTGTTCTGGGCAAATTGGGCCCCGAATTTGACTGGTAACTATAATTCAATTTGCTCTTGAATCATGAGATTTGTACAGAGCATACAAAAGCTTTGTGTAGCTTCTTCCGTTCTATAAAAAGAAAAAGGAAAACCTGAAAAACTAAGAACATCAAACATTCTCAAGAATTGATATCCAGATTCCGGAGCCAGTCACCATATTAAAGTTGATCTTTGAGAATTTGCATTCGGGTTCGGATTATATTGGGCATACTATTGGTGATGGTAATGGTCTTCCTATTGTTCACACTGGATGTTCCAAATTATATTCTTTTCGTTTTATTCCAGCTAGGGGATGTGTTGCATGTTCTTAATATTACTAAGAATTTACTGTTTTTTGCAAAATTTTCTAAGGATATATAATAATTGCTCTTTTACAAATTTATGGTGAAGGATGTACACAAGATGATGGTTCTCCTTCAGGTCAGCTTTTGAGATTGGCCTTTACAAGTTATCTTGTATAGGTGGATGATAATAAAGCTTCACATGCTTCTCAACGACTCAACCATTGCCCCTGGTTAGTGCGAAAGTGTCTATTGATAGCCAGGTGGCATGATCGCTTGGGACATCATCCAGCCCCTAGCTACAATAGCTAGACATGTTGTTAAGGTTCAGTTTAGAAAGAATACAAATACATATAAAATCATACAAAATATATACTCCTTCCAAACAGAGCCTAATGCTCACAATCTTCAGTTATCCTATATTAGATAGAAAGAATGTCATTTTGTTCTTCATACCCATTACGCAAGGCACATAAACTTCCTAGTACTACATTTTATGAATCACCATTAGAATTGATTAGTTGTGATGTATGGGGTCCATCACCTATAGCTTCATCACATGGTTTTAAATATTTTAGTATTTGTTGATGCTTTCAACCGCTTTCAATGGATTTATCCTCCAATACTTAAATCTGATTCCTTGCAAGTTTTCATTAGATGCAAGGCTTATGTTGAAAGGCTTCTTACTACAAAATTAAATGCCTCCAAACCATGGTTTTGAAAATCAAATCGAAAATGGAACCATTTTGGTCTAACCACTGGTTCTCGGGTCAAATGGTCTCACCATTTAGTCTGAATCCCAATTAGACGGTTTTGGTCTGAGATTGGATCCGAATCCATGACCGATTTCCGGGTCAATCGGTCTGATGGTCCAATCCGGTCCGATTTTCAAAACCATGCTGAGGTGAATTTATGAATTCAAGCCATTCTCAATCAAATGTCGTATTCAACACCTCACATCATGTCTTCACACCTCTGACCAGAATGGTTTATGTTCAAAAACATTGGCAAATTGTTGAAACTAGTTTAACTCTACTAGCAAAGTCACTTGTCGCCCACAAACTACCAGTGGTAACCTTTTTAACATATATTGCCATGTCACATTCAATGAACAAAACATTTCCCTTTGCAACTACATCTTCAACATCACCTATATCATCCTATAGTATACTTTGGACCACCTCCCATTGTATAGCCCATTTGGAGATCAACACTCATGACTTTACTAACACTAATGGACATTTTATATTTTTCATATTATTTATTTTGATGTTATACATTGTTTCTTTTCATTTTTTCTATTTTTTTAATGTAATAAACTGCAAAAGCTTGTCAAGTTTTTTTTTTCATTTTTCATATTGAGTTATTGATGTGGGGCCCACACAAATTCCATGACATATATTTGCCATTGAATGTTGTATATAGGGGTGTCAATTAGACTAGATTTGGTCTAATTCGATCAAGTCCAATGTGAGTCCATTATAAATGGACCAGGTCCAATCCAATCCATTAAATATTTTAGACCCCTTTGGACCAATCCAATTCAATGTCTGGACCATCCAATCTGTTCAAATTTGTTTTGATATAGATTAGTTTCAACCCAAACCTAGTTCATCGGCACCTATATTCTTATCCTATATCTATGGACCAGATATTGGCTTA